TGGGCAAATCAACACGGGCTGATATGAAGCAAGTCCAAACAATGCTGAAACTTACAACATGTGACCACCTTGGTTAACACGTCTGTGAGATTTTCATTCGTGTGCACCTTCATGAGAGAAATATTGCCTTCTTCTATGACATCCCGTATAAAATGATAGATGACGTCGATAAGCTTGGTATGAGCATGATGAACTTGATTCTTTGCCAAATGAATCGCACTATGACTGTCTTACCACAAGTTCATAGTATCCTGTTTAATTCCCAAATTGCCTAGCAGACCCCATAACCACAATGCTTCATTCACTCCCTTTGCCATGACCATGTACTCGATCTCTGTAGTAGAAAGTATCACTGTAGCCTGTAACATCGATCGTCAACTAACTGGAGCCAGTAGTAGATCGCCGTCTATCTAGATCGTCCGCATAATTAGAGTCCACAAACCCATCAATCTGACATGTATCTCCACCAAAACACAAACCCGTATCAACAGTACCCTTCAAGTACCTCAGAACCCACTTTACTGCTTCCCAATGCGCCTTTCTAGGATTCGCCATGAATCTACTAAATGACACTGACCGCCTGTGAAATATCTGGACGTGTACACACCATTGCATACATTAAAATACCAACTGTACTAGCATAAGGGACACGTTCCATGTGCGCCTTCTCTTCTGCTGTAGTGGGAGATTGTTTTCCTAAAAGCCTGAAGTGTAGAGCCAATGGAGTCACCACCGACTTAGCACTTTGTATCCCGAACCTCACGATCACCCGCTCTATGTAACCCTTCTGACTCAAGAACAATCGCTGAATCGCCCGCTCTCTTCTAATCTACATACCCAGTATTTTTTTGCAGTGCCCATATCCTTCATCTCGAACTCTTTACCAAGTTGAGATTTTAGCCTATTTATCTCTACATTACTCTTCGAAGCAATGAACATGTCATCTACATATAAAAGAAGATAGATATAATCACCTCCACGAACCTTCCGAATGTAGACATAACAATCATAGTCGCTTCTGGAAAACCTATGCTTCAGCATGAAAGAGTCAAATCGCTTGTACTACTACCGAGGAGATTGCTTCAATCCATAGAGTGATTTCCTCAAGCGACATACATGATGCTCCTTATCCTCAACCTTGTAGCCCTCAGGTTGATGCATATAAATCTCTTCTCAAGCGACATACATGATGCTCCTTATCCTCAACCTTGTAGCCCTCAGGTTGATGCATATAAATCTCTTTATCCAAGTCTCCGTGTAAGAAGGCTATCCTCAACCTTGTAGCCCTCAGGTTGATGCATATAAATCTCTTTATCCAAGTCTCCGTGTAAGAAGGCCGTTTTGACATCGAGTTATTTCAGCTCAAGATTACCATGAGTAACAATACTCAATAGCACCCGAATAGAAGTGTGTTTCCCATCGAGGAAAATAACTCATTGTAATCCATACTTTCTCTTTATGTCAACCCCTTTGCCACTAGCCTAGTCTTATACCTTGTACCACCAAGCTCTGAAGGATCCTTCTTTCTTTTATACACCCACTTACATCCAATAGCTTTTCTTCTTACGGACAATGAGACCAACTCTCATCTTTGGTTCTTCCGAAGAGATGCCATCTCTTCCTCCATCACAACCAACCAACTCTCGCTATCTCTATCCCGAATAGCTTCCTTGAAGGTGACCGGCTCATCATCCTTCACCGAAAGTATGTATTCCACCAAATTAACCTGCCCATAGTGCTTCAGGGGTTGATCAAACCTCAACTTTAGTACCTGCTTGTATGCTCGTCTTGGCGTAGTGGAAGCCAAGCTATCCTCGAGCTGTTATTGTTATAGTGCCTGTGTATTTTCTTGCTGAACCTCCTCCTGTTCAAGCTCATCATCTTCATGATCATCCTCTTGAACACGACTAGAACCTGGTTGGCCTTTAGGTTCCATCTCAATAACCTGAGACTTTAGAGTCCTAATATTCCTAACATCATCATCCTTGGGCGCCCTAGCAATCATGGATTTCTCATCAAACGTAACATCCCTACTGATTATGAACTTTGAATCTTCTGTACACCAAAGACGATAGCCTTTTACACCATTTACATACCCCAAGAATATTACCTTCTTGACCCTAGCGTCAAACTTTCTCTCGTTGACGTGATAATAGGCGGTACACCCGAAAATTCCAAGCCTATCATAATCTGTATGCTCCCCTGACCATATCCGATAGGGTACATCACCATCCAGTGTAGAATGTGGAGAACGGTTCACAATGTAACAAGTTATAGCCATCGTTTTTGCCCATCATTCTTTTCCCAAACCAGCATATGAGCGTATACTCATTGCTTTCTCCCGTAATGTTTGGTTCAGTCTCTCTGCGACTTCATTCTGCTGTGGTGTAGATCTGACTGTCCAGTGTCGAGTAATGCTCTCCTGATCACAGAACTCCTTGAAGGCACCATCTGTATACTCTGTACCGTTGTTAGATCTTAGTGTCTTCAATTTCTTCACTGTCCTATTCTCAACCATTGCCTTTCACTTCTTGAATGTCTCGAATACCTTATTCTTATGCTTAATAAAATAAATCTAAGCATACCTCGAATAATCATCTATAAACGAGACAAAGTATCTGGAACCACCCTTGGAAGTTGTCTGAGCCAGACCCCAAACATCTGTGTGCACATAATCTAATATATCTTTGCTATTGTGCTTGCTTCTTAGAAACTGAACCCTGTGCACCTTTCCATACACACAATCCTCACAAAAGTCCATGCAAGGTTTCTTCATATTCTTCAGCAAACCCTTCTTACCAAGCAGATCTAGATCATTCTCTGACATGTGCCCAAACCGCCTATGCCATAACCGTGTGTGCTCACATGGGTCTCCACCCCTTTCTTCCGTTCCAACCGCTACATCTCCTGTCACCGTCGTATCCGAGAGAGTATATAGGTTACCGTGATGAACACACTTCATCGCTACTAGGGAGTCTCGAATAACCTTCTTTACTCCGTTCTCTGTAACAATCTTGCAGTCACCAGAGTCTAATGCACCAACTAAGATAAGATTATTCCACAAGTCGGGAACGTGCCTCACATCTGTCAGGGTTCTGACCACTCCATCATGCATTTTGATTTTTATATCACCTAGCCCCATCGTTTTACAAGCATGGTTGTTCCCTATCAATACGGTTCCACCATTAATGTTTCTGTAGGTAGCAAACCACTTCCTATTTGAGCATATGTGGCAAGAATAACCTGAATCAAGAATCCACTTTCCGAAGATATCCTCATCACCCTTGACAACAAAGCATTCCTTTTTGCTCTCTTCCTCTGAAACGTAGCTCGCCTCTTCATTGCCCTCTCTCCTCTCAGTCTTGTTATTATTCTTCTTCCCACCTACTTTCTTATTAGGACAGTCGACCTTAAAATACCCTAACTCACCGCTTTGAAACACGGTCTTCCCGCAAGAGGTCTCGATTTCGATCTAGACTTTCCTCCCTTGCCTTTTTCTCGTTCATTGCCCCTTCCTCTAGCAAACAGTCCCTAAGATTGCTCATTGTTACCACTAGTGGCCATGTCACTAGTTGCAATTTTCCAAAAATTATCTGCCAGAAGTAACGTTCTAGTCTCATCCATCTTCAAATTGTCACCCATAAGCATCGGTGTTTGAACCAGAGTTTCATAGGACTTTGGTAAAGAAAGAAGTAGCAGAAGCGCTTGATCCTCGTCTTCTATTATCACATCAATGTCCTTCAAGTCCGGATTGATGAGCCTTCCTTCATCTTGCAAGTGTACAATTTGGATTTCAAGTAAATCATGTTCGTTAGACTCTTCGTCATGAATGTGCTCTCTAACTTTGACCACATTGTCCGCAACCGTTTCCTCTCCATCCACCAAGAAAGCTACGTCCCTCTCAAGGCATAGGATAATCGACGCCCGTGCTTTCAGATCTAGCTCATCCCAATCCTCATCAGACATATCATTGTGCTTCTTCTCCTTTCCCACCAAAGCTTTGTGTAATTTCTGCGAAATCAACAAATTCTTCATCTGCATCCTCCAATAAGAAAAATCGTTTTTCCCATTGAATTTTTTGATCTCGTACTTTCCAACTTCAACTGTCTTGCTGGTAGATAACATCCTCTGCTTGATTAATAATACCTCTCTAACATGTTGCTCTGATACCAAATTGTTGGGACAGAAAAAAACTGCCCACACCTCACGGAAGCGAGTAACCTCGAGAGAAGACCTATCTTAAGTTTACACAAAACTCAAACCAAACTAAATCAAGCAATAGCGTAATAGCAAAAAACAAAAGTAAAGTAGACGAGACACAGAATTTACGTGGTTCGGCAAATTACCTACGTCCATGGAGGTGTGCAGAGGGATTCCACTATGAAAGAGAAACACCTGACGACTTGTACAATCCACAAGCTCGTCCCAAAGAGTTAAAGCTATGATCTTTACCCAAGAAAGAACAACATCTCTCTTGTACAATTGCTCCAAGCAAACACTCTTTTTCTCTCTCAAGATCTCTCTCAAATTCGTTTAAAACACCCTTAAAAAACCCTAAGAAAAACAGCTTGTATTTATACCAAATAACAAACCCAAACAGATTAAGAAAGAAACGGTCTAGGCTTCTGATCGCGTCGCGATCGACCGTACATGAAGTCGCTATCGACCGACCAAAACACTGACTGTAGGTCTGAGCTCGTGCACATTTTCGGTCGACCGCACACGTGTTTGAGGTCGATCGACCGGAGTCTTGATTTTTCTGCCTGTAGACACACATCTTGTGATCGACCGCACTAGTGTCTGCGATCGACCGACCTGCCAGATTTCTGTTTCTTCCTGCTTCTGCTATTTCCGCTGTTTCTTCTACGCTTAACATTTTTAATATTGTCTTTCGAAAACCCAAATGGTTTCCATTAAGACGCCGAACCAAATCCAAAGACACATCACAATTAGACGTGTTCAATCGAAGGAGATCACCATAGAAAATATATTTTCATAATAACCCAAACCCCAAATATATATATTATATAAAGTTAAATGAACGCCTAGGGAGCCCCTCAGTGCCTCTTTTACATGATGGGGATACTGTTGGTAACAGCAGAATCACAGCAATGTGTTAAAATGCCAAATAAAATTACAGTAAAGTCCCAATCTCTACTTTGCATTTGCACTAGGCCTTCTCCTGGATTTTGCCAAGTATCTCCATCCAGAGGAAGGACACGTTATTTGGACCTTGTCAGATATCAATTAGTCCTGCATAAGTTGCCATACAAACCGTTGAAATAAGTAAGAATCCATTTCCAAAGAAACATCTGGATATGAGATTTATTGATAATAACAAGGACTAGTACTTAAAACTACAAACTTGTATAGAGCCTTCTACTTCTATGCCACTACAAAAGGATTATGCCAGAACTCTACTAAACGTGAAACACTGTCTCATTTGTTTCTTCGGTTGGATATTATATCCAAGCATCAAGAAATCCAAACTCTTCCATTGAGATCGACCACATGAGATTGAATCTCGTTGTAAATTTCTGAAGTACGTTCACACCAGTGAGACGCAATAAATAAGAATCATGCAGGGTGCAACTTTTGTATTCAACTATGGAGGAGAATCTAAATGATAATGCAGGACAATATCATCATTTGAGAACAAGTGCAAACAAGCAACGTTTTATGACGGTTTGCTTCCCCAAATCAATCCTACCACTATCCCTACAGCCAAGTTTTGTAGAAAGAAAGCTAAGGTGACAACTCATACGCTCACGTGAGGAAAGGACTAATAATTGTTCAGTGCAGTATTTTATGGATGACCTCCTACTATTCTTTAATCTCAACTCATTAAAATGTAAAATAAATAGAAAACCATCTGACTTTAGAGATCTCTAACCCATTCATCAAGTGGTCGTTCTATCAATAAAATCTTTCAATTGTTGCTTTCACTACTGAGTCAATTTGCTATCTTTAAATTGACTGATTTTTTGCACATTTACATTTAAGATAACGAAGATCAAGACGAATAGTCTTTATATTCCAAAAATGATCCTTTTATTAGTTACCAGTCCCCACCTCAATAAGTCGCATAAGGTGACACTTCTGACTCTTTTTCCTCATGGACATAACACGGGAATTTAGATAAAATATTAACTATATTAGCATATAAACCCCTAAGACTTGGAGTAAAAATGAAAATTACAGATAGAACATGTGACGATTGCTGCATATACCCCTTATTCTGGATACTCACAGCTTTCATGTCGCCACTCCTGTACGATCCCATTGCTTTATGTTTTTTCGTCATATACCCAACTGTTATTTAACATTTAATGAGGAGCAAGTTAATGATAGAATTACACGATGAAAACATGCTTTACCTGACTTCTGCGGTTTATAACTAATAAGTCTTAAAATTATCCTCAAGGTACTCATCCTAATGCAATGTCTCAACAAGTAATTACATATAAACATGGATAAATTTAAGTTATATATGCACTAAGATGTAAAAATTGACAGTAGCCTGCCTTCAAATTGCACAACCTAAGTTAGCATGATCTGCTCCATTAACATTGTTTAGTAACTTTAATTCATTTTTTTAAATAATGGAGGGATGCGGATGCGGATGTGTATGCAATTCACACAAAGATATAAACATGAACGGAAATGTGCAAAAAGAATGTTGAAAATGGATTACATAAATAAAAACGGCAAAGCTATAGACATTCTGTATATGGAAGCATTTAAAGCTTTTCACAATGTATTTTACAATTTAAAATAGACACGAATGTTAAAAAGTGCAAGTGTATTCCTTGCTTTCCTTAAAAAAAATGGTTTTAAACAACTGAAAGGTTCCTACCGCTGCCTCCGACTTCACAGGTCTATCGCCTGTTGTAATGTCCTGTACAAGTGCATTTCTATCATCCTTACTACCAGATTGGAAGAAAGTTAAGCAGTGTCTTGTTAGTGAAAATCAAGGAGCCTTCATACAAGGGAGAAATGTTTCACATAACATTTTCCTTGCTCAGAAGCTCCTTCGAATGTATGCTAGGAAGAACATTAGCTCAAGATGTGTCATGAAGGTGGATTTAAAAAAAGGTCTATGATTCTATCAGCTGGTCAATTCCAAGATGATGTTCTCCATGGTTTAGGCTTTCCTCACAGATTTAGTAAAGATGGATTATGGAGTGTATACACTCAGTTTCTTACACAATCTCTATTAATGACTCTCTCTCTCCCCCTATATTATTTCATGGTGCTATATATAGGGGTGAGGCAGGGAGATTCCTAATCTCTCCTTACCTTTTCATCCTATGTATAGAGTATCTTACTAGAGCTCTTCTGAATCTCAAAATACTGTCAAGGGTTTTAAATATCATGCTAAATGCAAGGCCCTACAAATTTCTTATCTCTGCTTTGCTGATGATTTAATGCTGTTTTGTAGAGGTGATATCACCTCAAGTCTCTCATCTTTATAGTAGGTTTCTTCACTTCACGGCTGTTTATGTGGTATCAGCTAATGAAAACAAAAGTCAAGTTTTTTTTGGGTGGTGTAAATCACCCTTCAAGGCAATCTATTCTTCAATATCTGCAATTTGGTGTAGGTACACTCCCTGTCAAGTACTTAGGTATCCCTCATTCATTAAAGTCTCTCAATGCTCGGGAATATGCAATATCTTAATTGAGAAAATTACTCAAAAGATCACTTTCTGGACCTCAAAACTTTTATCCTTCGCTGGAGAACGTCAATTAACTAAATCTATATATATATATATCATGCATAATTATCGCGGTGGTGTCTTTGTTCTGCCAAATGGAAGTGATTAAGGCAGTTAAAAAAGTTTTCAGAATTTACTTATGGTCTGGATACTTGAATAATCATCATAAATCCATGGGAGCTTGGTCCTCTGTTTGTTCTCCTAAAAATTGTGGGGGGGATTGAGCCTTAATAATATGGAGTTCTTCGACAAAGCCTTGATGATTGAGAATATATGGGATGTTCTTAAATCTTATTTGGGTAAAGATGGGTTCCTTGTTTTTATTTAAAAAAAACATGATTTCTGGTCTCTTAAGAGTAAAGATCATTTCTCTTGGACCTTCAGGAAATTTCTCAAGCTCAGAGAGGTGGCTCCAATGTGTATTGATCTCACAAATATGGGTATTGTTTGGAAAGGTATTAAACTCCATTTTAGCGACTCTGCAACTCATAACATGATCACGGGTGATATGGAGAAAAAGAGGTGGACTAAGCTTGTAAGGAACAGATTTTATTCCTAAATATGCTTTTAACTTCTGGATTGTGTGCTTGAATAGTGCTGTGGATGATGATATATGTCTCATACCTGAAATCTATGAAGAAACAAGGGATCATCTGCATTTTGATTGCCCTTTCAGTTCTCAACTTTGGATGCAGGTTATGGTCTTAGTCCAAGTTCATGATGCTCCTCCTATTTTGGCATGACTCTATTGTTTGGATAGAACATGAAGAGAGGGTAGCAGTACTATCAACTGTATAAAAGGGAGCTGCTGCTGCATCATGTATTTACCATATTTGGCTTGCATGAAATAAGATTATCTTCCGGGACACTAGACTGCAATTAGAGGATTGTTTAAAGCTGATTCAGTTTGATAAAAAAATTCGGTGCAGCAGAATATTAAGGCTCAGATTCCAGATTCCAAAGCAATGGGCAAGAGCAATCCACATTGAGCCTTTGTTTCTTTCAAAGAGGAGAAGCTAGTGTAAGCTAGGTTTGCTGTTATTTTATATATTCTCTCTGTTTTCCATTTCTTAGACTAGAGAATTTAGGTTGCTGTTGCGTTGGTTGATATTGTTATGACTCTATGTTTGCTATTAGGCTGCAGTTTTGTTTCAAAACTCTATTGATCACTGGTACTTAAGATTCA